TTTTAGAAATAGTCAAATATCGAATTATTTATTAGAATATATTTTAATTGAGCAAATATTAAAAAATATTGAATGGCCAGTTAGTTTATGCTAAAATTTCATCTAAGTTTTTTTTCGAAAAATGAAACAAAATAATATGGATTTTTTTATATCAATTCATAGGCGATTTGACATTTGATATGACCTTGAATAAGTGTACTTACCAGGAAATGTTATAATAGATAGTTTAGTATTTTTAAAAGCTTGATTTTTTTTCTACTGATAAATAATTGACTATATAGTGTTCACCGTATTTGGCTTATGTTAACATTAAAAAAATAACTTCATTTTAATTATGACTATATAGTATTCACTTCATATTTGGCTTATGTCATTAAAAAAATAACTAATATATAAAATTCCGAGTCCTATACCCGATCTAAATTGGGCAAAAAATAATACCGTTTTTAAAATTTTTTTAAAAATTATTAAACTGGGTCAATTTCTAAAAGATGAATTTAAATTATAACTAATCAGTTGAAAATGATTAAAAAATGATCTAGAATTTAAAATCATTTTTCCATTTGAAAAAATTAGCAAAATAAAGAAATTTTTATTAATTCCGACAAATCATCAAAAATAAAAAATCCAGGCCTGATCAATAAATTATTATAATTCGAGCCTAATCTTAATAAACGTTTTTCATATTTATAAAAATTAAAAATACAATTTAATGGTTATTAACATTAACGTGTCAGGACATTATATACTAAATTGAGTTTACTATAAGGAAAGCTGTGCACCATCATTACCCTATTTATTCTGCCTACCAAAAGGATTGAAACATTAAACAAAAATGTATAATTGGTAGATATACTATATATTTAGCCTAAGCTCTATAAGAAGTGCTTTCAAAAATTTGGTAAACTTTAAGCTTAGAGTTATATATTAATATGAGAATAAAAATTTTTAAAAATATTAATCGATTCAAAATATAATGAGATTTTAACTATTTTACTATAACTATTAAATAAATTGAAAAAAAAATAAAAATCAATATCTATAAAGATCGTTAAATCATGAATTCAAAAATATTTTGAATCGAAGAAAACGAAACCAATTTATTTAAACCTAATTGATTTTTCATTCGCTATTTAAAATGCAATTTACCACTCAGCATAAGCGTTATAGTTTTGTTTAGCTTATAACTTGTTTCTGTTAATTGACTGGAAAAACTGATTGATAGATTAGTACGTATTAATAAACATTACATTAGTGCACCCAGATGTTTATTGTTTCTATAATTTTCTTTCTTATATGATGTCAATCTTGGCATTTTTTTCTTATTTTGCCGATATTTCATTTTGTAAGTTATCCATCAAACGAGTTGAAATATTAAATACTAAAGAGGCTAATATATCATACTTTCAAAAGTCTGGACTTCATGCTTAAGGATTAATAGCATAGTTTTTATTATATTTATAATTCGGTTACTTATTTATGGTTAAAATTGTCGAAGAATTATGCAACCCAGATATTTAGAAATTCTAAATTCTCTATTCTGTATGATGTCAATTTTGAAATTTTTTTAACTATTTTTAACTTTTTTGCCCTTTAAGCCATCTACCAAACAGATTTGAGCAATAAAGTATATATAAAAATTACTTGATGGACTGATATACGTTTTAGAATTAGTGCTTAAGCTTGGGCTCACTTTACACTTAAATCATATTGTCATGGTTGTCATTTTGTTTACAACTTGGTTTTTTTTGTTTCGCAAAACTGATGATGAATTAATAAATTCTAGTGAAACTAAATATTAGCTCAAACCAAATATTTAGCTCTTCCATATTATTCATTTTGGTGATCCCTATTTTGGAAATTTTTTCTTATTTTGCTAAAAAAAAATTTTTTCTTTTATACTATCTAATAAACGGATTAAAATATTATACAATTGAGCAATAAAGCCATAAAACCATGTCGTTTCAGCTTATTTTTGAAAGGTATTTTTGTTCAGCCCAGATTAAATAGATTTTGAACTGGACACCCAATTTTGGTTTGTTTTAAGTTTAATTGTTATTTATATATTTTTTTGATACGTAAATTTAAATAATCTCGCTCTCTCTCTCTATAAGCTGTTTAATGGAAGCTATATAGAGAAGACTGTTTAGAAATAAGACGAATCAGGACACAACCTAAACATTAATAAAATTTTTGGAATAAAATGCCTTCAGTGGCTTTCTAAGAGTAAGATTCCCTCTACAAATCCTGGCTACACCACGGCTAACAGCCAATTTTATTAGTGAGTTTAACTAAATAAGAATAATAATTCAAAAAATTATAAATAAAATTCTGTCAATATATTTTCATATAAATTATTTTTAAATAATTTTCAAAAAAACTAATTATTCGAATAATTCAACTCCAATGAATAGTAAGAATTATTATTCATGCGAATACGGATAATAAATTATATGACTCGTTAATTATGCACTATTCGATTTGTTATCGTTTCTGAATAGAGGATTGCAAATATTATTTTCTAAAAGGATAACTGGGCCCCTAGCGGCTATATAAGAAAATGAAAATTGGATATAATATGTAGTGTGGTTAAAAAGCCCGATTTAGGTCAATTTTTAAAAATGGCCCGATTAAGATTTTAGCCTAAATAATATTATGCAAGCCATTTTTTTTAATAGATGGCAGAAAGGTTTGGATTTCTATTTGCAAAATCTCAAGGCTTACATAATATTATTTTGGCTAAAATCTTAATCGGCCTGTTTTTAAAAATCGGGATTTTTAACAATCCTACTAATATGCAACTAAGGTACCCCCCCCCCCTCCGCATTTTTAAATTCCTATCTCCCTACCCCATATCCGCCTCTGAAAGTTATATGGAGCTGCTTCAACTTCAAGTTTGTAAAATAGTTTGAAACGAAATATAAAGAAGTATTTTTAATGTTTTTTAAGGATATGAAAAAGAACTAGATTCTTTTCCAAATAAAGTATCAAGTATATTAAAAATCTTAAAGAACAAACAGATACAAAAGAATCTTGCATCTAAGACAAGTATTCGCGATACTGCCCAAGGTTCTTTAGTTCTTTAATAATTATATTCTAAATTTATTTACAAATTTACTAGCTAAAAATAATAATTTATTTAAGTTTTACAAATTTAAAAATAATTAAAAAATTTAATAAGCATTCATAATGAAAATCAATTCCGTATTATTTACTAAATGTTTGTCCATATTCTTAAATCAATATCTGTGGACATGCAAATCCAGATTATATAGCCAGATAAATCGATAATGGGGGATAGATATTGTCATGTCATGAAGATTATTTAAAGAATTTCTAAAATGGGATGCTAAAATAATAGAATTACATATAAAAAAAACACCACAAATGAGAACTTTCCTCGATGATTTTCTTAATATTGAAAGATTTTATAATGACACGGGTTTTTCCAATCCTGAAATCAAACTGATGAAGGCTATGATTATATTAATATTAATTGTTAAATATATTTTTTTGCTGAAAATAATTCGATGTGAAGTTTCCTATTAAAGCATCTAATTTCATTAAAAACATAAGTATGGGCTAGAGGTTTATATTTAAAAAAAATATATGTAATATCGTCAGCCTTTTATATTATCCATTTTTTTTAAATTAATCAATCAAAATTAAGTTGCATATAATAATGTTTTAGGCATTTAAAAATTGTTTCATGAGAAAAGTTTAGCGGGGCAGAAAAAGTTTCGCGGAAAGGACATATAACCTTCTCTATTATAGACTGTAAAACCTGGCTCGGCCCTTTAGGAATTTTTGCACAAGTTGTCCTTTAACTTTTTACCACCAGGCCCTTTTTAATATTCCTAATCCATAAAAATTTTTACGAAAAGTCAGACCCCTATCCTTAAATTTTATAAAAAAAAATCGTACCGGCCCTTTAAATTTTTTTATACGAATTTTCATGCCATTACATATTAAATATCTATATATATCTAATTTTTCCCTAATGTCAATTATGGCTCTTTCTTCTATGGCTATCTATTTCTACAAAATTGTATTTGATATCTGTATTGAGCATTTGTAATTGAGTCATATCATAAATAAATTTTTTCATTTTTATGATTTACTATATTATTTATGGATTTAGTATTTTAGTTAGACAGCTTATAAAATACAAAAAAATAAGTATATTGTAATTTCAATTAGTATTCATGAAAATATAGCTTGAGATTAAGAAAAATATATCAAAATTATAATGCATGGCGCCTATTAAAATATTCCCAAATATTAGATGCAAGGCCCGAAAATTTTTCATGCACGAATTGCCTGACACGGTCTCTGAACCATTTGCCCGGCCCTTCCGTTATAACTTTTTTAAAAAATTTTCCTGGCCTTCAGATGGGCCGGTCTTTGCAGATCTCTAATATCCATTAACCTTAAGCCATAAAAAATTAAATTTATATCTATTATTTGTTGGGAATAAATAATTTTATTTTAAATTAAATAGGATAAATTTATTATAGCTTTCTTTAAAAATAAAGAGATTGAAAATTATTATACCTCAAACTTAAATTATAAACTCATTTTGTTTGTAATTGTGCTCCAAACAAAATAATTTTGGATTTTCTTGGTAATGGATTTTTATTAAAAATAAAAACCTTTATTTTAATTAATTTATAATAAAATATGATTGTATAAATACCTTTAAGCAATATTGTTACTCTTGTTATAATATGCACAACCAATTAATATTTTAGTAATAAAAAAAATTTAGCCTTAAAGATATATAATTTATTTATTGTATAAATTAAAGAAGAATTAAAAATATTCAAATAATGAATAATATTACGTGTAATATAGATAAAAAGTAAACATATTAATATTAAAATATCACAAAATGATTTTGAAGAATTTATTATTAATAATAAATATTAGATGATTATTTTAAGCTTTATTTACCTTGATATTTACCTTCTTAATTTATTACAATTTTATATTACTAGATTTATTTTAAATCTAATTAGTTAAGCGTAATAATGTAATATAATTATTTGTTTAGACTTATTGATGAATTATATCTGAAATCTTGCATCAAACATTTTTAATATTTTATCAAATTTACTATGAAGCCAATACTTTTGAGAATAAAGGTAAATTTTATATAGTAATAATTGCACCCTATTTTATGAATTTATATCAATAATTAAATGTATCTTATTAGCCCAAGCAATATTAAATAATTTATTTTTCGTTATTTTATGTCATTTCTTCATTATTTATATTTATGATGAAAACAAAAATGAAGGTTTTAATTTTTTTTTTTCAAAATTTTTCAAAAAAAAAGTTTGTAATTTCATCTTAAAGGATTTTTTATTTACTTATAATAGATTTTTTATAAAAATATCTTTGCCATTTTTAATGTAAAATTTGATTAAAGGTGAAGATTTTTTCAAACTCTGAAATATATATTTACAATACTTATTTTACAATATAAAAATAAAATATAGAAAAGGAATGTAAAAAATAATTATAAAATTCTAATTGAATTAACAAAAATATACCTAAATTAAATTTATTACCAATATTTTTGTGGCAATTCTTTAGGTTCATTGGGGAAATTTCTTTCGGAACATAAGATTTTTAAAAAATTTGAGGTGCCAACAAAAAAATTTTTTTTAAATGTTAATTCCAGGAATATAATTGGCTAATGATGTTATTCACGTAATAGTCGCGTAGATTAGATATTTTGAAAACCAAAGGTAAAGTTTTCAGGAATCATTATGTTTTAAGTCGTTCTCTGAACGTTTGTTTGTTGGCATACTTAAGGAAGATTGGTATATACGCGTGGCAGCCAGGCTTTGATCAGAATTTAAGGTTATATTTATAGCGTACTTGATAACGAGCGTATAAACAGTTAAGATAATGTCTACCTTTTGAATCTACCTGTGGCTTACAGTTAGAGACATGCGGATTTAAGATGTCACATCTTGCATATTTCACTTGTAAATCTGATAAGAGATCATAATTAGGTAATGCTTCTAACCATTTATGTCCCACTATTCTAAAATCAGACTGGAAGAGTTAAATTAATTTCAGGCGGATTGGCTGAGATAACTACTTGAACGTTTCGTATTAAAAATGAAAAGAAATATTTGTGCGTGATGATGGATGGTCATAAATAATAAGGTTAAATTTACAGATTTCTCTATTTCTATTGTCGACCAGTATTGGGTTTGTTGGGACTAGTCATTTTATAGAGGAGTAAAAATATTCTTAGTCAGTGTTATAGTTTATGAGACAAGAGAAATTCAATCGGATGACCAGATATTGCTGTAAAAACTTCTTAGATCTTCAGTTCAAAGTAATAAATGAAAAGATATCTCCCCTTGGAATACCATATTTACCTCAATGTTCTTATTAAAATTAAGGGGAGTTTGATTTGATACAAGTGAAACCCCGTGTTATGCCTTCCTACCAGGAAAGATCTGGTGATGCAACCCGACCTTCTGATAGGGTTCTGTTGGTGCCTTTTAGATCTGCTCCCTTTAATTAAATTTAATGGTGGGAGGAATCTTAGCCTACTTGGCTATATTTATTAAATTTAAGCGATTTTCTGAATTTAAGTTAAGTAAAAAATTATTTAATGTGAATTCTATTTCCATGATAATTAATTATTTTGAAAAATACTTATATGTTAACATCTGTATGAATGTTGGTATTGGTATGTATCTATTTTCTTTTCATAATAAAATTTTTACTTAATAAACGTGAAAAAAGTCAAATTATTTATAAAAAATAAAATTTATATTTATAATATCGATTTAGAAATTATATTTAAAATTTTTAAATTAAATTTATATAAAAATTAATTTTATACTTTAATTATAAAATTAAAAATTAATTTAGGTATTTATATTAAATATTTATTATATTTAATTAGCGCTCTACGCTATTCTCAAAAAAGTAATGTACTATTGCCATTATCTATTTCAAAGCGCTATTAGTTTTAGCTATAGGAAAATCTAGCCCTACTTTAACAAATTTGGTGGAGACCAACTTACTATAGGCTTTAATTATTATGCTAATGGAAGACAGTTTATTCGAGAGTCAGGGCATAGGCTTAGCCAAGATTTTCCCAGGAGGGCGTTATTGGGTGGAATTTTTTTCAATAATTTGATTGGAGAGCTTTGGGCCCTTCTACGGTCGAGTTATATTTTTATTAAATTATCTTTGGTTAACGTTTTTTTTTAAAATAATTATGAATATTATTTTTAAAAAATTATGAATATATGCTTATTTAAAAAATATTGTATTCATTTTTGGGAAAATAGAGGGTAGGTGGATAATTTTTATTCTAAAATGTGTCACGGGAAGGGCCTTCCCTTAAAGGCCTTCCTCTGATGCTATTGTTTTTTCACTAAAAACATAGGAGGGATCTTGGGAACGACTAAATATGTAATTAGCCTTGCTAATGATAATGAATTCATGATCTATTAATAAAATGTACGTTGATAGGATTGTCACAATACGTTTTATTCTTCCCCACAACTTTATATAAGATATTTAGAGGCATTTTCTACGAATCAGGAAGAAATAATTTTGACCATGTTTCTATGACATATGACAGATAGCTATTGCTATAGTTTTAGATAGTTTTTGTGTTACGATAAAAGGTTTAATAATATGCTCCTATATCACAAAAAATTGGCGGGGCACTGTTCTCTTGGTTATTTGTAAAAGAAAATTGATGAGAATCTCGAAATTAGTTTCATATTTTCAGGATCGTGACCTATCCCTCCCAAAAAAGAAATGGGCTCATATCTCATCATCGTTTTCCTACACTAAATGGTGCTAACCAATTTTAATCTCCCGCTAATATTTTTAATGGTTTGCCTATTTAAATCCTCTAGCCATATTTTTTACCTTAATTGGGTTTTCTATAACTTCTTTAGTCCAGAATCTTAAATTTTTATGGATTTTATCAATGCTTCTTATTTCTTACTCTTTTATTTTCATTTCAACTTTAAAAAAAACATGTTTTATTTTAAAATACATATATCTAAATAATCGCAACGTTCACTCTTATTAATCTACCTTAAATTTTATTCATTTTATTTACAAAGCCTAAAAGCATCCGCTTTATGAAATTTCAAAAATCTAAAAATCCAAATATTAAAAATGTCATATTGAATGAATATACAAGTTTGAAATTTGAAACTTGGAAAAATAGTAATGCAATCTTTTTTATCTGCTCAAACTTACATTATCACGGATCTATATAAAATTTTATATATTAATTCCAGTCTAAATATATTTGATCAATACTACATATACAACCTTATCATTAAAGTCTCCCATTCATATTTGATCAGAATTTATCAGCTGAAATTTATACATCATAAATATAATCATTATAGAAGAATATATAGAAGTAAAATTATACTTACAAACTTGTTAGATCACATTTTGGGGTTGTTAGTTTATTTCTTAAATTCAAAAATTAATAAATTCGATTCAAATTTTATAAAAAGTATAGTTTATATTAAAAATATCACTTCGTTAAAAATTTACGAAAAAATGGGTAACGGTGTTTCTTCTAGTCATAGTAACCACCCCATTACCACTTCCAGAGTAGGAAAAGATGGTGGCTTTAAACCGAAGTTGTCGAAAAACTCAATAAACAACTACAAAAATAATACAAAAGGCTCATCGGAATACATAATTTTTAATGGGGAAAAGGTTGATTCGGCACAATTTCACAATATAATCGTTAATATGCAATCTGAACTTAATTCTCGTGATGAGCAAATGAACAAATTGGAAAATTTATTAAGAACATCCAACAAATCTATAAACGATAAGAATATCGAGATTAATCAACTGAAACAAGAAATAGACAAATTAAGATCAGTATTAGATCGAACTACATCCAATGTTCTCGCTGCTTCATCTTATTCCAAACCTATTGATAAAGATAATAAAATTGATAATTCCAAAATGTCAGTCATTAAAGAAGAATCACAGGTGTCCGGGGGTAACACTTCAAAAGCTTTAGACATAAAAACCTCCTCTAACAACTCAACAATGAAACCTACGCCGATTACCTCTAACATAACACTAGTAGATGAAAGAAAAAAAGGCGTATCTGGGGAGAGTGCGTCAAAAAACGAAATCGTTTTCTTAGAAAAACACAATAAGGGCATTAGGTTAATTTTAATATTTTAAAAATATAATTTGACTTATTATCACATATAAAATACGGATATAAAGATCCAAACAAATGATAAAAGATGCAATTTTGAAAAATGATTTTCTCAAAAATTTGGATCAATTACAAATTAAAGAAATTATCGAATGCATGTACGAAAAATATATTAAAGCTGAGCAATGGGTCATTAGAGAGGGTGATCTCGGGCAGCATTTATTCGTTCTAGCTGGTAAAATAAAAAAATAATACAAAATTATATATTACTTTTTTATTGTAGAAGGGGAACTAGAAGTAATGAAAAACGATAAAAGTATTGGATTATTTGGCCCAGGAAATGCCTTTGGAGAATTGGCTCTTTTATATAATTGTCCCAGAACTGCATCCGTGAAAGGTTATTTTTAATTTATTTCATTTCAATTATCATCATTTTTATAAACATTTTAGCCGTGAGTGATTCTAAAATTTGGGTTTTAGACCGTAAAATATTTCAAACGATTATGATGAAAACTGGATTACAGCGTCAAGATGAGAATATAAAATTACTTAGAAGGTTAATTCAATACTTTTTTATATGTATATTTATAAATAATTTTAGCGTTCCGTTATTACAAAATTTGCCCGATGATAAGTTGGCTAAGTTGGCAGGAATATTGGAATTGGTAAAAATATATTTATGAAATATTATATTAATTATAATAAAAATTTTAAAATACAGGAATTCTTTCACGGGGGAGAATACATAATAAGAGAGGGTACTTTTGGTGATGACTTCTTCATAATTATTTCGGGACAAGTATACGATTATTTATGTTACAGTTAAGGACCTATTTTTTCAGACCCGACCGGATCCGAGAAAATGCCCCGACCGATTCAATATTTTAATTTAGAAATAGGTCTTCCGATCCAATCCAATTTTTTATTATTGTACTTTTGAAAATTCGCGATATTTTAGGGAAATCGGAAGAATTATAAATGCTTAAGGCCATTTCCAGACAGATATATTTCTAAGCATTTTTTTCACCAATTTTTTTTAATTTTAAAAGAACGGATGATAATTTTGATCATAAACAATTAAATGGCGCCTGTGATACATGAACAGCCCGAATTTTTTAAGATATTATATTATAAAATAATATTAATTAGACAAATTACTATCCCTTGTTTTGAAATAAAAGAAAAATTGCTGGAAAAATGCCTAGGTTTTGAAAAAAATATTCAGTCTGGAAATGGCTTACGCATGATAAACATCTTTACCCCTCATTCCTTGTTAACGCGGATTTCCAGTGAAATATACAAAATATGTCTGTGGCAATTTTTTAACAAGCTGCAGATTAAATTTAAACAATAACTTTGATAATTTAATGATGTTTATCTATTTTATTATATTTATTACAATATGATAAAATGAATATTTAATATTAACCACCTCCAAAATTTTTTTAAATTCATTTTTTAATTGTGAATGTGATAATCAATCAGACGAAAAGTAAGAATAGGAAGGATTAGGTTTAAGGCCACTGGCTGTTCCTATATTATAGATATATGTTACCTGCAAGATTATGACCAATCCCTTAAGGATTCTATTTTAAAATTTAATGTTAAGTTATTGCTGCAATAATTGGATTTTTATAAAAATATTAATGGCCTGTATTTTTTAGAATCTAATAAAAATTATATATATTTAAAAATTAAAAAAGAAAAAAGAAAAATAATTAAAAAATATTTGACAAAATCTATTTAAATCATTTATTGAGAGAGCGATTTTTAAGTTTTTTTTAAAAAGAAAAATTTAATTTAATCAGAAATGTATTACACTATGTATTGTAGAGTACCTACCCTGTTAATTTCACACAATTTGTTATATATTTTTCTGTATTTTTTTTAATTTATATGAAAAATCTATATAACCATGAAAATTTATCGAATATATGATGAAATAATCGTTTTTATTCATATCTGATATCTGATATATTTTATTTATAAATTAATATATGTGTCAACACAAAATTTATATATGAAATATAAATAAATTCCAAATTAAATAACATATAAAGGTGAAATATATGTAAAATGATAAGAATAAGGAAGAAAAAGTGAATCTAGCTAAAGCTTGTGGAGAGAAGACTGCCATCGAAACTTCTATAATTCGCTTTAAGGATAGCTAGAGCCAATCTCTGACTGAGGAAGAAGCCTTCTCGCGGATCGCCAGTATGCTTGCGAATCTGAGATCCTACTCGAAGAATGATAATACAAGTTTACCAAAGAAATTAAGTAGTGGATATTATTGGGATAAAGATGTGATTATCTGATATTTTTGAATATATGGAAATTTTATGTTGTTCTTTTTGCTCAAGGTTTGGAGTTTGGTTAGATAAAGCTAATGGATATATGCATGAATAGTCCCAAACCAGAAATTGGCCCCATTTATGGGATCAGGGTGATTCTTTTCATCGGATCTAAAAAGTCCTGTTTGTTCAAATATAGTAGGTATTTTAGCGGATTTGAATGCTAGCTGGATCAAGGAATTGAATCAGGTTTCCCTGAGGATTCCTCCTTTGACCGATCTTCAATGTAAGCTGTGTCTTCCTTTACAGTCTATTGCAGCTAGAGCAGAAGTGAGGATTATTGTACAATTTAGGTGGGTTCTTATTACGTGGGTTAACTCATTGTTAGTTAGTTGGAGTTGAAGATTTTCGGAAGAATGACTTCCAAAAATTCATGCCCGGATCTATTAAGTAAAGAAGTGAAGAGAGAACGGTCTGTTGGGAGCATGCTAGATAATAGGGATTCAACGCAGCATGCTAAAACTGACCTATCCCATTTCTTTTGTCTATTGAATTCGGGCGATGGGACATCATCCACGGGTGTCCTCCATAGCAGGATAATATCATCTAAGGAAAAGTTATTTTGTGTGGTTTGGGGCGTGATTGTGGGTTTCGAAATATGCTCGAAATAAAGGCAATGTGAGCAAGATTGGTGGGAGATCTAATCCCTAAACCACCGCTTTTGGTGGGTAATGAAGCTTTAACCCATGTTTCACTGAATTTTGGATTCAAAATATATTCGGTTAGATCATTTATTCTTTTTCATAAATACTGAGAGGGTTGGGCATTTAAAAATGGGCGTTGAGCGCAGATCATAAAGTATGCGTGGAATAAAGATTTTAAGGAGGACGAATGATTTATGCGAGGGTAGCAAGTAAAGGAGGTCTAAGGTTAAAAAGGATATCAAGAGTAGAGTGGTGGAAAGCCCTGATTATCGTGAATCCGCCTACTGGGGACCATGTGATTAAAAAAAAATTTTTTTAATTAAAATTATATTATAACGGAACAAAAAAATGGAAATTATTTATTTTTAATGTGCTAGATGATCAAATTTAGTCAATTTTTAGGCTTAAAAATGTTACATGTTCTAAACTCCCTCATTGTCAAAGTATTTATTTATTTTGAATGCAATCAATATATTATTTCTTATAGATGTCTTTAACTATTATATTTGATTTTGGTCCATCATTATGTCTATTCCCGAATTCATAATCAAATAATTTTTACGGTACCATATATGCAAAGTTGACCAAATACCAATGTAAGAATTTCTATAGATAAAATAATATTGGCATATATTTTTACCTATTATAATTTTTAAATATTTTTAATGAGTATAAACTATTATTTCATCTCTTATTCGATAAATTTTTTATTCTAGAAAATTTATTATTTCCATTATTCCTTATAAATTCGATAAATATAAAAATCACTTAAATATTATCAAGAATTTTATTATCAAATAATTATTTAAATTTATAACATATTATAACAATTTTTGAATATTATTAGATATTAGTAGTTCGATGTGAAACGATAATTCAATAATGATTGTTGCATATTTACAATATAAGATTTTTAGAAATTAAAAATGGCCCTCGGTTAATAGTTTATGATTTAAAGATTTCGAATCTCCAAGGGAGAAATTTCGAATTAGTCCTTATTCCAGATTAACTTACCACAATATAGCTTATGCTAAAATTACCTTTTAATTTAATGAATTATTATATAGCTAGAAATAGATTGTAGTTAACTACAACTAAAAGTGTTTGTAAAAAATATCAAACTACAATAACTTAGCTCATTAAAATGTAGATAGCTAAGCTAAAAAAGGTATATATATATATATATATATAATATTTCCCCAAAAAAGGTATTATATAATTATAATTTATTTACTACAAATTTTAATTTGGCATTGGTTAGTTACGATCGATGTCTGTTTATTGATGTATAAATTAAGAAGAAAAAAATATAAATTATATTTCAAACATAATATAACGATTAAAACGATTTATAATAAGGCTATGGATAAACGTTCTCTTCTGTTGAGAATATAAAATTTTTAACTCATATTAGATACAGTAGAGAAATATTTGGCTTTTTCTAGATTCTATTGTATTCTTGTCTGCTACCGTATATAAAAGATGATTAAGTTGTTATAAAAATTTTCATGAATAAATTGTAAACAGAGGTTAATGATATAAGATTATAATTTTTTTAAATATCCTTAAAAAAATAAGATTTTTGCAAGCACATTATTTCTGTTTGTCCGAATCTTATGAAATTATTCTGGACATTTATATTCTTTCAAATAGACATCCAATACACATTTTTCATTATTGGGTAGTAATCATTGACCTACAGGGCCTAAAAAAATTAACCCTGATGGGGTTTAGAGAAAATTATAAACCCCGGCAATAGCAATTTTGAAAAAAATAAATGATAATTATATCAATTATCCAGTTGACTTAAATAAACCAGGTCCGGGATTTTTTTTGGGCCCCAATCCAGATTTTTGTTTATTCTAAGCCCGGCCCGAAATTTTTAAAATTTTGTTATTATATTGTCTATATTTAGCAAATTGTTTCAAAGCAAAATTGAAAATATGAATGAATATGAAACGTCTTATTTTAAGATTTTCCAGGCCACTGATTAATTGATAAGATTTAAAAAAAAGAAATAAAACTAAATAAAATTACTGACAAATATTTTGCTTTAGGTGTTCCCACTTTAAAATTTTTTTTAAAAATTAGCAACTTTTCGATCTCCATAATATCATAGAAATGAATTCTATCTAAAAAAATTTTTTTAAATATATTCAATTATCAAACCATATGGCAGGTTTTGGTGACTCAAAAAATTCAAGGACGAGAACAGCCACAAGAGGTTAGGAAATTGAATCGAGGTGAATATTTTGGGGAAAGAGCTCTTTTGAAAGAGGATCGTCGTACTGCTAACGTAATTGCACTTATACCTGGTGTTGAATGTTTAACGATAGATCGAGAGTTTGTTAATTTTAAAAAATAATTTAAATAACTTTCCAATGTTTCACTAATTCTCAAATTATAGTTCATTTGTTCAACTGATAGGAGATCTCCAAGAATTTCAAAATAAAGATTATGGCGATGAAGCTAGAGGAGCACAAAGGTTTTTTAAAATAATTATATTTAACATTACATTTGTTAAATAATATAGAATATCTCTCGAAAGTAGCGATAAATTGGTTAAAGTTGATCCGGAATATCAAAATTTGACACTAAAAGACATCGAAACCATAACTTGTTTAGGACAAGGAGGCTTCGGAAGAGTTGACTTAGTAAAAAAGCATATAAAAATAAATATTACTATCAGAGACCTGCAGAGATTTAAATTTTGAAAAAATTCCAACCCTGCTCGAATTTTTTAAAGAATTATTTTGGGCCAAGCTGGGTTTTGGATTTTAAAAATTACGACATTTTAAATCAATAAATTCTATAAAAAATTTCAAAGGGGAATGGAGTAATAAATGGATGTTAATGAATTATATTATCTCTTTTCAGTATTTCCTTATTAATTAATCGATAATATATAAATTTATTTTACGGTTCACTCAGGGCATGGTTTTGGACCTGTCTAGCAAGCAAATCTCTGATTATCGATTATTAAAAACAATTTCAAAAAAAATTTTTTCCTGATTTTGACATCTTATCTTTCATTTTTACTGTATTGGCAGCCATAAATATTACAATCAACATCATCATTTCACTCATTTTAGCCAATTTAAATATATAAGTGAATTTCTAAATAACGTTTTGTTAATTATTTAATAAAATGACATTTAGAAAACTTTTGTCTCAGATTATTATCATTTTGAAAATTTTAGAGGAGAATCAAATTTATTAACCATAAAATATGAATTTAGTTTACGACCGTGATATTTAATATAAACATTAAAATTATTAATAATTAAATAATAATAAGGTTCACGTATATTCAGATCCGAATAAGAGTTATGCTCTGAAATGTATAACAAAACAATATGTCGTTGAATCGAGACAACAAGAACATATATTTAACGAGAAAAAAATTATGATGGAAATTTCTCATCCTTTTATTTGCAAGTTTATTTTTATAAATCACAAAATATTATCCTTTTCCCATTTCTGGTGTAACACACTTACATGCTCAACTTTTCAAATCTATAATTAAGCAATTATTTCAAAACAAAAAGAACTGAAATATATATTTTCTTAAAACGAAATTTGACATTTTATTATTGATAAAGTTAAGTATATAAATACACATAAAATTTCAGTTCATTAATTATTAACGCCTTAATATCATTATCAGAGACCTGCAGGTCAGGTCCGGGTTGGCTCATTTAAGCGACCCGAAACGAGCATGGCTTGGAAATAAAACTTGAAAGGGGTAATAGTTAGTAAAATTATTAATCTTAACAATTATTGCGTTATATATTTTTGACAAGCTTATAAATGCTTATAATAACTCTGATATTTAACCCATGACTCAGAAGCGACAGAAGGATAATATAAAGCTGATTTTATTTGATCATTTACACAAATATCTTTATTCAATTTTTATAATTATATTTTTAAATTATAATGCAATGTATACTATTTAAAAAAAAAAAAAATTTAATAGGTGCTTTCGTACATTTAAAGATAGTAAATACGTATATTTATTACTTGAAGCTTGTTTAGGTGGTGAAGTTTGGACTATATTGCGCGATAGGTAATTAATAATGTATTCGTATTCATTAAAATTCACTAGAACAAGGTTAATATATTTTATTTTTTTGAAGGTTAGATAGGATTCTATGTTTGTCCTTTCTATGTTAAATCAGTGTTGAAATTGAACTTAAATAAACTAAATAAATTTTCTAATAAAGTCAGCGAATATTTTTGCATAAAGTCCTCTCGTAGCAGTTATAAAGACTTTTTAAAAATGTGCTTCTTGTTTTAGAAACTTTTGGAAAATGAGAATTTTTTTTAAAAATATTGCCTATAAAAAATTATTGCATGTTTCAGCTTTTTCGGAGTCATAATAAAATTCGGAGACCTGCAGAGGTACCACGGCGTGGCCTGGTCCGGATTTTATATTTTTAGGTACGGTTCAGGTATTATAAAAAAATTAAAATACGGTTCGGCTCACGTACCCGGGCAGGGCCTGGGTCTCTGATAAAAATAAAGATGAAATTTAATTTTGCTATATTATATTTAAATTTTGCTTAGAAATCATTTTGATGATATAACTGCCAGATTTTATACCGCCTGCATTATAGAGTCTCTTGGATATTTACACGATAGAGGTATTATATACAGAGATTTAAAACCAGAAAATATGCTTTTAGACACTAATGGATACTGCAAATTGGTAAGTACATTAACCATTTATATTATATCTTTGCGCTTATTGTATTACTCAGAAATATTCATCATGGTAGATAATTTTTTAATCAATTTTAATAAATATTGGGAACTATTATTTATTATATTACTGACCAGTAAATTTAATTTTTTAGAAAATTTTAAGAATCTTTTGACCCAGCGTATAACTTTCCCACATCAATTATATTTAAAAATTAGAAAAAAATCGTCCAATATTTTTTAAATTCAATACCATGAATTCATAATCGAATGTATTTGTAAATTAAATGAATATAGTTGAAATCCTATAAAAACGTTTATAAATTTTAAAAAAATATAACGAAAATATTATTTTTTTAGTATAAAAAAAGGCTTAAAGTAATTTTAAACTTTTTAAATAAAAATTTTACGAATTTACTTCTATACAAAACTAAATATCTCATAGGGAACCAGAAGAATCGATTTTAGTCTTGAGTAAGTTAGAATTAGCTAAAAAAAAATTGTAAAAATTAGATTTACAAATGAAAATAATTCATGTTAAATTATTGAAAGTGTCTGGTATGGCTAATTAATTAAATCGTCCAAAGACTATATAGCAATACGCTTTAAAAAAAATTTGGTTCTATTTGGACAACAAAACTATCGATCTAAATTTGAAGCATGTTTTTTAGATTTTTTTTGATTATTTAATCCATTATATCGACTATAAATTATTATTATTTTTAAGGTTGATTTTGGGTTTGCTAAAAAAATTGGCATTGGGAGGAAAACCTGGACATTTTGCGGAACTCCAGAATATGTAGCCCCAGAAATTATTTTAAATAAGGGCCACGATCAATCTGTTGATTATTGGGCTATAGGCATACTCATGTTTGAACTCCTGACAGGAATGTAAATTTTTTTTTTACTTTACATTTGTAGTTATAACAGTATTTTATCACATTTTTAATACCCACTTCATTTTTTAGGCCCCCTTTTACAGCTTCAGAACCAATGAAAACATACAATCTCATATTAAAAGGTATTGATATGCTCACATTTCCTAGACAAATTAGTAAAACTGCTCAATCTTTAATCAAAAAACTTTGTCGTGATAATCCAGCCGAGCGTTTGGGATATCAAAAAAATGGAATTAGTGATATTCGAAAACATAAGTATATAATATAATCTTTTAATAGAAGATATAAAGATATTTTGAGTGTGCCATTTAACCATCGATAGGGTTTATGGGTATATATGCGCCACCCAGAGATTTAAAATTGTTGTTGCAAAGGAAACTGTAAATATTTTGACCTAAATTCTTCCATAGCCTTCTATTGTATTTCTAAAAAGTTTCATGCATTTTATGGAATATGATCATTTTTGGGGGAAATTAATATTATATATTATACATACATAAAAAAAAATATTGTCTAAAAACAATTTCATTTGATATTTAATTATAAATTAATAAAAAAAATTAAAAGTATACCCACTTTATAACTTAGGTTTTTTCACACCTCTCGATAGTTAATAAACAAACAAAAAATCTATTAAGATGAATCAATAATTTTTAATGAAAAGTTACAATTCATTGACCTTGTATTCGATTGAGAATTTTTAAAAGCCAAGAGAAAAGAAACATGATATTCATTTGTCAAGTAGACTTTTATAAATAAAAATACAACCTTAACCTGTTTTTGCCCAGGTTAATTTTTTAAAATAATTTTGTGTAAATAAGAAAAGTGAATTTTATTTTTTATGAAAGTCTTTTTTCCCTATAAAATTATTGTTCCTTAATCGGAACACCGAAAACTTAAATGGTAGCAAAGGGTAAATATTTTTTTTTATCTTATAAATTTGAATTAATATTCAAATAACATGAACTAAAAATGTAAATTATATGATAACTATGTTTAATGCATATTTTAGAACAAATTTCATTGAGATCATACCATATTTTTTGCATATATGTTTTCTTTTAAGATAATACACATTGATTTAAAATTTCTGATATAATACTCTAATGATCCATTCTATTATATCTTACATTCTATGTGCACCATATATTCTGATTCATTTGAAGTATAGGCGTATCCAAAATTTTGCGGGGGGTGGGAAAGGTGAGGGTTTCCCTACAAATTTTATTGGAGATCTTTAAGTCCATTTTAGGCCTTTGGTCATAGATTTTTATAAAAATAACTTTGAGTTTTCAATTTTTTTATAAAAATGCTTTTTTTCCCTAAACTTTGAGTGTTCACTTTTTTTAAAAAAAAAGGTTTTTTTCCTAAAAATTTTATAGTCATTATTTTCAACTTTAATTTTTCTTTCGAATTCCTTATAGTGATATATTGTATACATTATCGGGAGAGAGGGGGAGGGTTTATAGGGGGGAAATTTTTATTAGCTTAATTTGATATTAACGGAGAACAAGCAAATTTGCGATTTCCCTCCCCAATTTGAAGATCTTGGTCATCCCCTTCTCAAGGCCTCTTTTTATAGTTAAAATAAATATATTCTACATGATAAGATAGATTTGTAATTGTTTCTAAAGAAAGAGAGAATTGAGGAAATTATGGAATCAAATTATTTGTATTACGGGTTATAAGTGGGGGCTTAGTTTTTTTTTGTTTTGGATGATATATTATCTTTATTCGTGTAATGCGATTATAATTGCCTAATCTAGGATTATATATTATACTACCTTTATATACACTCTACTATTTTCTTCATTATGATGTCAATTACCAGGTGGATCAAGCTAAGCTGATTATGTTTGACAGTTTTTATTTTCTAATATTACTAACTATTCTTCAATACTGTAGTGACTAAATGAATGTTTTATACAAATAATTCTAGTATATTCTTTAATTATTTATCTGATTTTTATTTTATAAATCTAAAAATATTCTAAAATTTAAAAATTATACAATATTGAACGAAATTTTAAAAATAATTAACTCGTTTGAATTTTCTATCTTCCAATATCGGAACATGAATAATTAAATTTATTGTTTAATATAAATGAATATGTAAACGAAAACTGCTATAAACAATAAATTAAATAATGTCTAAATATAAAAAAAAATTGTAAATATTTTTAGAAAATATGATAAAATACAAAATTTTTAAAAAAAGTTAAATTAAAATATTAAATAGGAGATGTTCCAAATCAAATAAATGAAGATATTCTAATATCTGGACAAAAATAAAAATATTAAATAGGAAATATTTCAGATCAAATAAAAGAAGATATTCCAATATCTGAACACCAAATGAAAGTAGGTTAAATATTCAACTTAAATATTAATATAGAAAAACAGAAGCAGAAGAATTCGTCTGTGTGTTTCGTTCTCATTTGAATTGTATTTTTAAGCATTCTTTAAATATTAGGCCAGGCTTTAAATTTATTAAAATAATAATATAGTCTAGCTCTAGTATATAGAAAATTGGTGTTGAAAAACCAAGAATATAAATTTTTTTTTTACTAAGTTAGGTTTAATATTTTATATAATTTATAAGGGAAATTTTATATTAGGTTTTGATTCACATGGATTTTTATATTAGTTATTAAAACCTTTGTATAGATTATAAAATAGTATATTTTTGAAAATAAATTATATTTTTCTATTCTCTATTTTTATTATTATTATAAGATGGTTTCATGGATTTGACTGGGAAGGCTTAGTTAAAAAACAATTAACTCCACCGATTAAACCAATCGTCACAGGACCAATGGATCATGCAAACTTTGATATATTTTCAAATCCACTTGACTATGAACCTCCCAATGAAACCTCGGGGTGGGATGACGATTTTTAATTTTATTATTTATGTTTATGCTCCTTATTATATATATATATATTAGTTAAAAAAATGAGAATTTATTTATTTTTGGCATGGGCAGACATGTTTTCAAAGAATCAGTTGAATAAAAAAGAAAAATAAATGTATTAAGATTTTTTTAAATAGTTGTTAATTATTACATTGTAATGTATACTCAAGAAAATGTTTGAGGATGACCCCCCCCCCCCATCACACATCATAGAGCGTATATGGTAAAATCTTCCGCCCCACTCCCTTCCTCTTCCATGAAAAAAATAGGGATGATTTGTTTTTACACTGCCTTTTTAATTTTCTAAATTGATAAAACTTCCTTCTTAGAAACTTTACATATCCATTAAAAAGTGACTAAAATATTATTGAAGATTGAAGAAAAAAAAATATTAAATTATTTTTTTTTCTTCTCAAAATTAACTTTTTTCAAGATTTTGACAATTCTTTGTTATCAATTAATTATTCCTTCCTTTTTTTTATAAGGGAGCGGGACGCTTCCTTTGGACTTTGGACACTCTCTATTTTTAAGCCTCGAGCATAATAAACACATGTGTCCTGTTCATGGCGTTTGAGAAAGTATTTAATTTTATAAAAATGTTTTTTCTTATCGAATCAATATCATTTGTTTTTCAGAAAAACAAACTTATATATTGTTATCTACATTATTTTTACGATAAGATGAATGATGCCAAAATATATTAACCATAAAATATTAATGTCATTTAATGGAAGTTTTCGTTTATGGCATATTTGTTGATAAATAAGCAAAATGTGTCGAACGACCAATCCAATTTCCACATGAAAATTATCCCTTAAATAAAAAATGATACTTTGAGATGAAATGTGTTTAAAAATCTTTTTTATCCAACCTTAGTTGAATTATAGCCGATAGTTAAAGATATTTGTTCTTCGTTAATTGTCCATACTTTTTAAATATATCAATGTTTAATCAATATTATCATTTAAAATTAACTGATCTTTTAATCAGTTTAGTTAGAGACATTTACCTATGTCAAATATTTTACTTGAAATTATTGTTTTGAGATTTTTTCGTAATTGTAAATGTAAACGCTCTGTTTCCTATTTGTAAATGATCTGTCACTAATCAAATTTTATTTTTAGCATTTATAAATCTTTAACTATTTAAAAGAATCAGTTTTGGTTGGAGATGTGCTTCCCTAACCCCTAATAAAAAGATATTTCTCCCTTTGACATAAAGCGATATCGTTTCCTCTGAAATCAAAAATTCTTCTCCCCCTGAAATAAAACGATTTCCCTAATCATCATATATTCTTTTCCTTCATATATAGTTTTTATTTCCTCTAATAATATTAACCCACAAATCTCCATACCTAAAAAAAGACACGTGAAATCAATGTTTATTAACATTAATATTAACTCTAATAAATATAATTTAATAGGACAAAAATATACTCACAGATAGAATTCCTATATAATCTAAAATCCACTCAGTATCTATATACGTTATCTTACCTTCAGAGAGTACTATACCTATTATGGTCAAGCAGTATTGTGAGATCCATACGTCTTTCGTTCCCATTTATGGTGGACTATATTCCCAAATAAAATATTTTAGGTTAAATTTTATATGCAATAATCAGTCATACACGCCGTCTATCTCTTGTACGCTACTTTAGTAAGCCTTCATTATTCATCATTTTAACTTGCAACCATAAATATGATGATATTAAACCTAAATTTAATAGTAATATATTTTTATGTGAAATATAAGTGAAAATAGACTGGGATATATAAATGTATTATTTGATAATGATTCAAGTATGATAATATCGAACAACTAAAATAAATCTAAACAAAGAAAATTATGAAAGTTATATTTCATATTGAGCTTTATATTTATGCTGCCTTTATTTCTTTTTACAACCCTATATATATGATATTTATTTAATATGTTAATATAAAATAATAAAAACAATCATTTATCAACGTTATCAATTTTAAGTTAATCGTTCAAATTAACAAAATAATAAAAGAAACTATTAAGTTAAAAGATAATAATGTAAAATAAAAGAAATAATAAAAAATCAGTCGACAAAGTAATAGGTTACTTTATGGTAAAAATTAATTTAAATGTATGATTTTAAATAAGATTTAATATTGAATCGTAAGGATCGTACTTTTTGTAGCTCACCAACTGGGTTCCCCGGATAATATTAGCCTCTTCTAGTATTCAGTTCTGATTATTTTCATAACTGAAAGGTAAATACATAGTGCACTGTTCTTTAAATAAGATTCTATCTTAACAATCCTTCCTTTTTTGAATTTTTCTTTCCCCAAGCATTATTCCCTTCGATTCTCCTTCACTTCTAATTATTTTGAATACCTCACGAATAGATGATGTATAATGAACAATTTTCTTTATTTAAAAAAGTTTCTATATCTATTCTTAAGAATCCTCCTTTTTAAGCTTGCCAATTTGTCTTCGCCAACAATATTCTCCTCTACTTTTGCTTGTTATTTTGAAACTCACAAAATAACTATAGATCATATCTTTTAAAAGCTTATTAATTGGTCTCCCCAAACAATATTTCCCCTGTTCGCGCTTCATTTCTTATTAATACCTATTTTTATTATTTAAGATTTTATATCTATTTTTAAGGATCTAACCTTACATAAATCTTTATTGATGCCATAACAATATTCATGATATACTTTTCATATAATACTTGTAAATTATTGGATTTCCTATTTTTCATTTTTCCTGCTTTATTTCTTCTAAATAAGATTAGCACTATAATACAATCATACTACGGCGATAATATATTGATCAGTGGCGTAGCTATAAGGGGGGAGAGGGTTGGGTTTGGACCCCCTCCCAGAGCAAATTTTTTTTTAGATTATTCGTTCAAAAGACCCAAAAGTGACTTTATATCAAATAAATATTATGCATATTTATATTTATCTGGTTTTGATGTTTGTGGAAGGATATTATATTACTATTGATATTATTCTGTATAGTATTATTATAAAGTCATTGAGAATAATCTACTAAATTATAATAACATATTATTGATGCATTTAAAAAATATATTTATTATAAGAAAAACAGATATGATTTTTAAGATAAATTTGGCCGAAGGCCGGGCAAAAGGGCCGAAAGCTCGTTAAAAGAGGGTCTGTGGGCGAAGCCCCCCCCCCAGGCTTTTATATGTATGGACCCCCTCTAAGGAAAATTCCTAGCTACAACCCCACTGATATTGATAATATTTTTTTATATTTATCTCCTCAGCTCCATTCCTATATTATTAATATTTATTTTTTTATTCACCATTATTTTTAATCCATCACCATTTGTAATCTATATTATCTTATATCAGAATTTATTATGCTAGATAAATGATAAAACAAAAACACTGAAAATCTTTAGAAGAAATTATGCAAATTTGCCTTAAGTTATTTACAAGTCAGGGATGCCATATTAGAAATAAAACATTTTATAACTATAAAATAAGAACCAGAGTGATATGATATGATAAAAGAAATTAATTAAGATTTTATATATTATTATCGCACCACCTCTAGTTGGTATATTATATCTTAAAATAGTAGTAGTTTGTATTAATATCAAAAATATATTAGTATTAAAAATTTAACTCAAAACTGTTTTTCAAATAAGAAAAAAATAGCTTTCCTAAAAACACGTAAAAAAGAGAAGAAAAATTATATAATTATTACAAAATTCTGGGATAAATAATAAGATGTTAAATTTATAAAAATATTTCTAAATAAATAGATGGCGTTAAATATGAAAGCAATTTATTATTTATATTTATTATCAAATAAATTTATTACTAAAATTTTTTAAAATATTAACTGTAATATATTATATAACTGTCAAATACATCTGTAAAAGTGGTATTTAACCTAATCTTTTATAATCAATTATATCTAATAGAGGATTATAAACTATATGTTTACTTACTTTTTATAAATAAATCTCTTATACTTATTTGGATTTGGACCTAATAATTTTAAGAAGAGGTATGATAATTAAATTAAATATCAATAATATAATTGATTAATGATTTTGAACTCGGCTAATTGCAATATTAAATTTATTAATTTTCAAGTAATATTTATTTAATTAGGGCTATATAATAATTTAAATAATAAAAGTCAATAAAGCTTCAACTGTTAACACTGAATTAATATTTAGTGAGTGATATTAATATTCTATTTTAACACAGAATTTGATTGAAAGCTGACATAGTGAAAATATAATTTATAAGTATTAATCTAATCTAATAATTAAAATATTCATTTAAGAATAATTTAGATAGACTTATTAATTTTTAATTTATAAAATTAAATCTATATATTACTCAATAAAATTATAAAAGAAATCATTCAGTGGGCAATCAAAAAATTTATTTTAGTTCAAGGGGATATTAAGGAGCCATTAAAAAAAAATTTTTTTGCTTCAGGGAACTATTCAAATTTTTCAAGGGGCTCGAGCCCCCGCGCCCCCCCTAGCGACGCCACTGCCAATAGTTAATAACACACTACACTCTCATAGATTTTAAATGTTTTTATTTATTAATTATTATACACAATAAATACTATGCAAATACATTAGAAAACGATAAGAACACCATATATTTATTCATAGTTGTCACATAAAATTATAATCGTTTATAATAATATATTTTTTACAATTAATTACTAATTTGTTATATTTTTTATAAATAATATAACAAATATTTATTAATTATATTTCCTCCAGACATCTTAAGTTAGATTTTCACAATAAATCTCCTTGTTAATATATGGTTTCTTGATGAACAACGTAATGTAGTATCTGTATCTGCTTCATTTACTGGTAAAACTATTTCTGTAACTTACTATGGATTTTCATAAGTCGGAACAATTGAATGATCTCCTAGCTGATCTGCATATTTCCGCAATATTCTCTCGGGAGCTTCAACTATATTTAAATATAACCCTGCCCTTTTCTTTATTCACTCCCTTTCTCCAACCTTTGGTATTCTCATTGTTTAACCCAACAGACTGTGAAATCTCGAATTCTCCCCCTTTCGAATGTAAATCATGATTTTTACTTTGTCTT